TTTGTTTTTTGTTTTTAATTTATTTTTTCTTCTTTTGTGTCGTGCCTTTATAGCAAAATGTTTTTAGTGTCGGACATTAATCTCGCTCGCTGTGAGTGGTTCGGCATGAAGTAACKCCAATCATCAGATCATACTATTTTCTATCTGTTTGAAAAGACAAACCTTGGGCATGTGCCTGTACATCTGCAGCTTCATCGGCAGCATTATAACTGGCTGTTTTCTTAGGTTTCTTGATGCTACTGTAGAATGGTTCCAAGGCTATCATCAGCTCTAGAGTCTTGATATCCAGTAGACTAGTAGTGGCTTCCTGGTCTCTTAGTAACTCTAGGGCTGGTGATACAAGTATGTTGAAGCTTTCCCACTGCTCGTAGCTAAACGCCAGCTTGACCAACTTGATGACGGCCTGTAATGAGATACCACTAGATCCTGGGGGRAAAACATTAGAGATTATCAGCTGTACCACAGATGTCCTACCCTCCCCTCCCACCAAATTCCATTCTGACACCTTCATCTACATTGCATAAACCTTGACAATGAATACATTTAGCWTAGTCTTCAACCACGAGAACTTCCTATTAGTTCGTGCCTATTATCACACCGCTGCCACCATACACTGCATCAATTGGTTTTTCAAACCAATGMACGAATACCCATGACAATGAAGTCCGTAAGTAAGAAATGAAGAAATAGAAAACGCGCGCGCGTGCTGTGTGCAGTTATGAAGCACGCGGGGGTTGGCAAAACACAAGAGAAGTGTTAGGAGATAGCACGACGCGTAGCGGAGTGCTTCTCGACACTTCTCGAGTGTTCTGGCAATCCCCAAGTGCTTTATAACTCATCACAACACAGCAATCAAGTTTTTTATTTATTTTAYAAAATAAAAAATTACGATAACCGTTATTTTAGATAGAATGACGCAACTGAAAGTGCGCGCGCGTGTTGCGTGCTCTCATAAAGCACGCACTCCGTACCAATCGATATATTTATAACTGTTATTTTATAAACTGCAATAGGCTATTGCTCATCCYTCGCTAATAAAATTATTTTATTGTATTGCATCATATGACCAATACAGCCCTGCCCACGCGCTCTATTAAAACCTTTGATAGAAGTCACGTGATGGGGGCCGGATGGCTTGACATGAGCGGGCCGGAAAAGCCTGTCCTGTCCTCCTTGGTTGTAACTGTTTTACGCGCGCTGCATTTATCGACATTAGCAGGATTTTTCAGCCTTTTTTAAACAAAAATTGTGTAATATGATACAGTGCATCTCATACAGTGCATCTCATACGCAGCCTTATGAATGGCCTTAACATTTTTCGACTCCAAMATAACCTACCTTCACGTATAAACCCCATCAGACCACGATAACCCAAATCTATCACAGATGGATGTATATCACTCTCATGTTTCATCGCATGTTGATGTTTAGCACCGCCACCACCGGCAATCAGCTCCATCCCCGCAAAGAACAGCTCTRAGCAAACATCCGTCACCGTGTCTTCTGCATCCGGGGGTGGTGCTTCACAATGTATCGTTCGTCGGCGCGGTTCGCTCAGTGCTTCAAGTATCGCAAGAAACTGAGCCGAGGTGCTAAACTGGAACAGGTCTGTTAGTACACGTTCTGTTTGGGTTCTGGGCCACGGTTGCTGTGAATAAAAACAACACTGTTAGTAAATATTCTGTTTAAAAACTTTGTAAAATTGTATAACAAACCTATAGTTTACAACCATGACTCCCCACAAGGGGCTCTTTCGTGAGGTACGCTGCACACRCACTGCCAGTACATTGTCTACAGCGAAGTTTGCACTGACGTCACCTAAGATCTATTGGCTACTGAAACAAAGAGATCTTTTCTTTTGATGGTTGGCAAATTTGAATGAGGAAAGATTCCTGACGTCAATGTTTCAGGGTGAAAAACAAAGAGCCTGAGGAAAAACCCTCGTGGCAAGGGAGAMAACAACCACATCAAACAAACTCAACTCACTAAGGTCTCAACCACAACCCCAATGAGATATGGACTACACAACAACGGGAGAAAGTGCCGTAGCAAGGCATGCCATACGCGGCCTGATYGATTGAAATGACATGATGAACAAGCGCATTAAGTTCTGGTTAGCTTTGAGGTYAGCTGAATTTGGAGCGAAAATAAAAAACCTCTGCAACTTTATAAATTACTCACGTTGATGCTATCCTTTAGATTAGGTTTAGTTTTTGGCCGTAACAAGCCCTTTGGTCTCTTCCTGGTCTCAAACACCACCCTTTTAAAAACCATGATCTGCATTTTGGTCCTAGCTTCACGGAAAGTCATGGCCGACATCGGTGAGGGTTCCGAGGTGCTGATTTTCTCAATCTCTTCCAGTTCATTAACCTTATTCAATCCCCTTCTTGCAAAGCTCTCAGCTTGTGTGGTGGCCTTCATGTCGTAGTAGCACTGACAGACTGCAGTGTAGAGAGTACAACGCCAAGCGAGGTATCTGGCTGTCATCAGGGGTACTGATGACTCCATACACATACAAGCCCACAGAACAAACTCCAAAACCTGAAAAAAAATTCAATCATTTTATTTCATGCCAATGATACATATAGGTTTCATTTCATTTCCTTTCTTTTCTCTCTCTCTCTCTTTTTATTTCTTTATATACTTCTATTGATCAAAAACATATGTTAATGTAATCTCATAATTTGTCAACTGTCTCGTTTAGCCTATGGCTATTACAACTGGCTTGTACCAATTTTCTGTGTTTTTTTTGTTTAGTATATGTAATTTTGCAATTTTGGTACCAAATAAAGATTGATTGACTGATATATATACACCTGTATTCACAGGATGTAAATGAAATATTTTTTCACAAATAGAATTTTTATGTCTATATATGCTGGAACACTGATGTTTTAGTTATATGCTAAAAAAAGGACATGGAAATAGGAGGACTTGGTTAATAGTAAGCACACCCCCTCTAGGAACTGTTTGAGGGTCACGCAGCTGCTAAATTAAGAAGGGATAAATATAAATTGTGTAGTTCCAAAAATTATCCATTCCCCCCCCCCCCATGGAGGAATTTTTTAAGACACCCCCTACCCCCAGAAATTCCAATTTTCTTCCATACAAACTCTGTCATTTTTGTTCTTTCTCTGACCCCCCTACTCTTCGGAAATTCCAAATTCCTCTGTGGGGTGGGTATGAATGATTTCTGGAACTACACATTACACATTATTCTGTAAATTGGACTGGAAACTGTGCACCCAGCCTCCCACAATTAAAGATATCAAGAAAACAGCATGAAATGTTTATAGTCAGCTTTTAAGTGTGAGAGCTTCTGGGTCCAAAACATACAATACCCACCTTACTACTGTAACCTAGGGACATGAGGTGCCTGCATGCTGTATAGATATGAACTGTACCTATAGATGAAGATAACAAATCAATCATAATAGACATGTACAATGCTACACACATTACAAAGTATAGAGTTTCATAGTGATTATTTTTACAACCAACCCCCTAGTGAGGGAATACCAAAACTATACCTTTCCTGGGTATTCCCAAAAAAAACAGACCTAATCATCTTAGTGTAATGTTTTCCCCATTTCAGACCACTTATCACTCTCTTGAGAATAAAAATAGTGTAAGAACATGCGTAATAGGTAAATTATGAGCCTTGTATGAAACAACTGAAGAAGAGGGCCAATGGGCCTTTCACAACTTCAAGTCACGTAAAAAATGAGCCAGCTTAACTAGAAACCGTGGACAGCTGTTTCAGCCTGTATAGGGCCTCGTCAGCACGGTGTATCTAGTGAGCTGGCAATCCCACGAAAAAATAGTACATGAGAGATGAGGCGGTARGTCGTGTGTTATTGGGCTGGGAAATCATATGAGAACATGCGTAATAGGTAAATAGTGTATTTTTTTGGAGTTGTATCCATATTCATGTGTCTTCTCATGCGCAACCGTTAAACAAAGAAGTAATACTCTAGGGAATGACACRTGGTCTGAAATGGGGAAACAGTGGATTAGGTCTATTCCATTCCCCTCTGTTTGTCTTAASGGAGGGAGCCAGGGTAGGCTCTGAATGGGAGGGTGGGGGGAAGGGAGAGCTCTATTKGGAAGTGTGAGGGGAGGRGATGGGATAGCTTGGGGTGAGGAGGGCAAGGGGAGGGAGAGGGGAGGAAGCATTAACTTGATTACRACTATGTGCATTTCAATACCTAGTCAAAAAATATGGAAGGCTTACCATTGAAAACTAGCCAACAGAATGATTCCCTATGCAAGGCTGTCTGTGTAATCAATCTCAGGATTTTTAGTGTTCTAAGGCACTCAGTAATGGTTTGCGGATTCTGTGAATTCAAAAAYAAAAGTAAGGAGTCTTTGAATAATAGAGAAATATTGCATCAGTAATTTAATAGGAAAACCCCTACAGATTACCAGTAGTGTAGAAAGAGTACSAAAGCTGGAGAGGCAAGCACATGCATGTGTGACAATAAAATATTTGTGAGATGTACAGACGCTGTCAAAAGTATCACATGCTCAGATTCAAAAATGAGGCAATTTCAGGAAAGATGGTACCACTTGCTATGGAAAACTCAATTATACAAAAACTTTAAAATTATTTCAGAAACAGGATTATGACTTAAAACATAGCTCACTTCAGACAAAATCTTTTCTTCRAGGTTTTAGTAGAAATCTCCTCTGTACTATATGGTTTCCAAATGTTTCCTATGAACACTGCCTGRAAATGCCTCAAGTTCATGTCTGTGAGTGCAATATTTTAAGTGCTCTTGCATCTCAAAAATCGTCTATTAACTTTGATACTTTCAAAGGAAGTGATAAAAAATTGAAAGATACTTTAAAACAATGTGATACTAAATTGCAATAAATGATACCTTGATGTTTAGATCATCAGAAATCTTCACATGAAAAGAACAAATGGCTTCACCTAGCAATGCTCTTATCTAAAATAGAAAAAACTTAATTGCAACTCAACCAACACCACACTGTAATTTTATCASTGACTACTTTAGGTACTTAAGGCAGACTAGAGATTCAAAGAATTGATGCTGACTAGGCATATTTTGTTTTTGAGTGTTTTRTAAATATTGGCTGCTTACTGTGGTTTTCGATATTCTGCCAACTCAGACATTTCCATGGCTTATTGGAAATTGTTTTTTTACTGCCACCACTCAAAAATATAAGAGGTATCGACTGATTATTTTTGATTGGCGGCAGAGAAAAGCCAAATTTCAGCAGGCAGCTCGCAACTGCCGAGTTCTCAGAATATTGAATACCACAGTAATATCCAGATATCACATACTGTGAGCATCAGTCAATACAACTAATCAAAAGGACTGGCCTAAGARGTGTTTGACTGGACAAGTGCCAATTTTGGCAACACATTGTCCATTGACCAGCCATTATTTTTTACCTTGGTTGCCAGTCCAGGTATCGAACCCAAGAATAAAGAGGTGAGAGCCACACTCAGTACCTCTACAATACACACAGGCAGTATGGGTAACTGACATTTAATCCAAGGTGGTATAATCTTTGACTAATACTGTACTTACCACAGTGATAGMCATTGGGTCATCAAGTCCATTGGGTAGATAAATTTTGTTAAAAACATTCATGTCTTTATCTGCACATGAATCTAGTGCATTATCTGATCCTCTGACACTGCTAAGAAATCTTCCATAGCAATGATACTGGGCTATCTTGTATTCCTGGGGTGCAAATAAGGAGTCATTATTGAAAAAAGAAAAGAAAAGTATGGCATTTTACACCTTTATTGATGATTGTATTTTTTCTAGTTTAGATAATTTTGTATGAGTTACAAAATATTGTACTAGTTGACTTACAACAGCATACAGGTAATACACTGTTAGTAAGTCATGACGTACTGAAATGGCTTAATTTCCATCATCTTCGACCAACTCATTAAACCACAATGCATAGTTATGACTACGGTAAGATACATGGTATAGTACAGCTACAGTACAGTATTGCTATTTCATTTTCAACCCATACAAAACCTCTCTGTTTTATGTATGTTAACTCTAGTTGTTGTTGCTTGATGCTGACTTGCTGTTGTTATTTATTTTTTATCACTATACCTTGATATTGAAAAGAAAGTCTCCAGTGGCAATCATCTTTTGTATATAGTAATCCTGCTGCAGTCTTGATTCATAATTATTCCATAGATTGAATAAAGTATTGGAGCTATAGACAGGAACACAAACAAAACAAAACATAAAGCAACAGTTTAAGTTTATAAAATCAATGTTTGATGAACAGAAAAGTAACTCACCCCCTAGCATACGCCTCTTCGTCAGGTTTCTTCCATCTGGGACCAAGTTCAGCTTTTCTGTTCATGTATTTGACAAACCTTGTCAACTCTTGCTCAAAGGCAAGCTGAACTGGATTTAGGCGGCCAGACCCTGCAAAGAATACGAAAACATTCAATAGATTTACATGAAAAATTCTCTTTTGGGTTAATACAAGCATAATGAGTAAAAATAATGATAAAAAGCCTTTAGCTTGTTCTTTCTACAAGATAAGTTAGCATTTCAGGGTGAGCAACAACAAGGATCGTTGAATCTYGATAAAAAGATTATACGAAAAATTTACCATTTCGGCCGTTTTCTGAACCCATGTTTTCCTTTGACCAAAGTGAATTCATTCTAGCATAAGAGAAGGTTAAATATTTCAATAAAAAATAAATATTTCAAGCTAAAATCACATTATTTTTAGCTTTGTTTTGGTTGGTAGGTCGCCATCTTGGAAAACTGTTCTGTTTCTATGGACCAGACCTAAACTAGACCAGCATGCCTTGCGCGGCTGCATGGACAGACAGACAAAAACAGACATGTATGCCTACTCAAAAAAAAWTTTAAGACTGTAAAAAACTGCCGAACAATTAATCCGTGACCGGCGGTCTGTAATCATAAGCAATTTTCCTAAGTACCACAAAGAGTACAAGCCGAGGAAAGACAAACACAAGAAGCTTCTCTAGATCTAGCAACACGTCTAGCTTGGGCTACTATATATATCAAACACCTGGRCCCGGTTGTACGGAGCCTGGATAGTGCTATCCAATGGATAAATCTTATCCAGTGGATAAATTTATTTGATAACAGCATCGACTTATCCACTGGATAAGGATTTATCCGCCGGATAGCGCTATCCACCCTTCGTACAACCGGGCCCTGAATTAAAGTATCGCTTACCTGAACTTAGTCTCCCTCGCATCCGTTTTTAGTGTCGGTCGTCACGCAACGCTCCCTCACGACCGACACTAAAAACGGATGCGAGGGAGACTGAACCTGAACTAGGATGGAATATCCCTTTACCTGATTTAGAAGTATCTCTTACCCGAACTAGGAGCATCCCTTTCCTGATTTAGGAGTATCCATTCACCTGATTTAGGAGTATCCATTCAACTGATTTAGGAGTATCCATTCACCTGACTTAGGAGTATCCATTCACCTGATTTAGGAGTATCCATTCACCTGATTCAGGCGGCGGGCATCACTAATCTGAAACTAGGAGTATCTCTTCCGGTCACGAATTAATTGTCCGTCAGTTTTTAATTTTTGGCAATTCCTTAACGTATATATTAAAACGGATTTTAATCTTTTAAAAGTTACGATAAAAAACTTGTAAATTTTTTTTAGTAGGCACTAAGTTTCAGGTCACCCATCCAGGTACTAACTCCGCCCATCCGGACTTGACCCAGTGTCATGATGCATGGAAGCCAAAGTTTTTTCCACTGGACCACGTTTCCAGGTGAATCAGCATAACAATAGCCGTGAAAACAATCCATCAGATAGACAAGACTTTTTAACATCAAATTTTCAACCGATTCCGTGCGTGGCAGAGTGCAAGGGATTAGCCGATATGGTCTGTGGGCCGGCTGGTCTCTCCCCTGATGCTTAGGCTAGAACATTTCTTGCGTAATTCGTACACCCAAGGGCAGAAGGATTTAATCGTCGTCAGGTCCGAAGTCCATACGACGCCCCAGCTCTGCGGATGTCTCGGGGGTATGGCACATTGGAATCGAATTTTGTTTTTTATTTTTTGTCCGTGGTTTCGAGCTCCATCGTATCCAGATTTTCAATTTTCTGAAATGCATATTTTTGTCAATTTGGTAATGATTTTTTTGGGGGGGTGCAACCCAATATTTTTATTTTTTATTTTTTTTTACAAAATTAACAGTTGAGTGTGAAATTCATGCGTATTTTCCTGATTTAAAATATGCAAATGATATGAACTTGGAATTGAAGGATTATTGTGGTCAACTTTCTTGCAATGCCTCAAAATGCTATCCATTCCTGCAGTGTTCAAGTGAACGAAAGGATATCCGCGTGCGAGACCCGCGGCAAACCGGCGATCGAGTGGTTTTCTATCCATTCCTGCAGTGTTCAAGTGAACGGAAGGATATCCGCGTGCGAGACCCGCGGYAAACCGGCGATCGAGTGGTTTTCTATCTATTCCTGCAGTACAGTGTTCATCCGAGGGGAAGGATATCTGCGAGACCCGCGGCAAACCGGCAATCGAGTGGTTTTCTATCCATTCCTGCAGTACAGTGTTCAAGTGAACGGAAGGATATCCGCGTGCGAGACCCGCGGCAAACCGGCGATCGGTTGGTTTTCTATCCATTCCTGCAGTACAGTGTTCATCTGACCAGAAGGATATCCGCGAGACCCGCGGCAAACCGGCGATCGAGTGGTTTTCATTCATTTATTTGGAACCTAAAAGAAGCGGACGTCTTTACCCTGGCGTCATGTATAAAACCTTCAAAAGCTCATCCTTTAGAAAACAATACACTTCAAGGACCTCTAGCAGAATGACGTCATTACCAGTCACGTGAACTTAATTATTCTGATGACGATCAGGATAAAAAAACAAACGACAGCTTGCCCGTCATTCATGGCTTATGATAATTTTCATGGAATTTAATGGCTAATTGATGCCATTAAAGAAATAAAAGAAAGGATTAAGGGTTGACTCATCGCTTGAGACATCGCGTCAGTGGTCAGTGCATTGCAGGGGACCTTTAACGGCCTATTAAACATGTCTGACAACCACCTAAGCAAATCGTTTCCGGAATCAGCTTTCGCAAAGACAAACATTAGTATATATGTCACACGCTGGGTCGTTTTGTTTGGGGTGGCTACAATCTCTGAAGTGGACCGGGATTTAGACTCAGAATTTTTATAGCGCAAGTTCTTTGACAGATATAGTAAAAGGCCATATGTTTTAGTGGTTAAATTGCAGTCGTATTTTTGGRCAGAGCAAATTACGTAATTTAAGACTAAAAGCAAAATGAACTGAGGGGGACAAAACTTTAATCGTAAGTCGCTCCCACAAGCAGACAGCTGTTTTAACTTTTATTAGCTTTTCATTCGTTATTCCGATTGAAAATAATTTTATCGTTTCGAAATTGTTTTATACGAAACTCATTCGCGCGAATAACGTAATTGCCCGGGGGGTTACTCCGGGGTAAAAGTATCGGGTATTGTCGTCGTATCTCTTGTGGGTAAAAATCAGCGATTTGGTACTTTTAGGATGTTGAAATGGAAATTTAGAATTTCAGCATATCTTAGCAACTGTTAAGGTATCTCCTAGGGTTAAAAAATCGTCCAACCATTCCATATTTAAAAGACTTTTGGTATCTTTTAGGCGGTCTTTTGAAAATTTCCGACGAGCATACCCGACTATCCCAGAGTCACTCCCCCNTGTATCTTGAATTTCTAATTTAATGTATAAACTTGTAACCATCTTGATCAAAACTACATGTATTAAAGAAAATGGAGTTGAATCTTAGCTTTATAAGGATCTCCCCCCCCCCCCCCCCCCTCCCCCCGGGACGTAATTGTCGATCGTTGTTCAAAAAACCTGCTCGCCATAGAAGTTAACGTACACAGGGGCACATAAAGTAGAGTTGGGTGATCAGCTTATCATGCGTCATACTTGTATAAAGTCATGGGTTCGTTTTGCTAGACTTTGGTGATTTAGAGACATGCTAGGGCAACTATGAAACTTTATACAACTAAGTGTTTGAAGTCCTTAGAATATTGGATATGACGGGGGGGAAAATTTAGATATCCCGGTCAGTACGACACGAATGAAAAACGTCTGCGCATGCTCTGAATCCGTTTGCAAATTAGTCAAAACATATGTAAATTTGACTTTCAAACATGTCTGATAAATTAGACTTCACAAAATGCCAAAACTTAGTGTCCATGCTTGAAACTTGAGGCTAATTCTTTCATCTTGTGATTGTTAATACAGTATCTTGGTCTCATGTAATGTAATTAATGTACTAATGTACTTAAGTATACTTAAGTACATTTTTTTTTGGAGAAAACAAACATTTATTTATTCACTAAAACTCTTCAAAATTCTTAGAAAACGTGCTGAAATGCACGCATGCGCAAACGTTTTTCTCTAGTGTCGGGCAGCACCACATTTACAGAACTTAACTCAGCGGCATATTTAACATTCTCCTGTGAGCATGTGAACTAACAATATAAATTTTCGAGAAATTTTTGGTCGTTTTCCAATATCGTGGGCGTCGCTATGCGGAGAAAGTGCACTTGAGAGAGCCAACATTTCGAAATTATACTTGAAATCGATAGTCATATTCAATCTGGCGTGATCACTAGAAATTTCTTTGCTTCCGGAATCAACCTTTTGGTGACGTTTGAAAACCGTCGCAAAAATAAAACGTCTTTAAAAACGTCTTGTTTTATTTAGTTGACAAACTTTAAATGAAATTAAAATATAAGTGACCTTTAATTGAATTTACTTTGCATGTTATTTTCAGTGCATTACTCATTTATCTTTCACATAATACAGCAGACATGCATAYATGACATCTAGTTTGTGAACGTCATTGAAGGACATCCCTGGTACTTGTCGTTGTTTACTCTGTAAATAAWTCACAAATGATTCATGATATCTTCGACATTACTAAGCACGAGTGTGGGTCCAACTCGTTGAACTGTTAGCTAGGACTTGTCTTYGTTTTTTAAGTAGTGTAGGTGTCATTTGACACATCCTGTCATTGATAGAAGCATTATGTCATGGTTCGAAAGATATTGAAATCAAGTTGTATTTCCGTATCGACACTGAGTACATATCAGTACAACCTCAATTTTAGCTGGTCCTATTGATTCATCAATGGATTCCGAAAACTGCGAACAGACAGCATCGTCAACTTTTGAAATAATTACAGAAAAAGACCGTAGAAGGTTCTCTCGCCAAGATCTGATCAAGAAGTCCAAATATATCCTTTTGTTTACGTGTTTGCTGCTAGTTGTGGCGGGAATAACAGTTGCGCTCGTTTTCTTCTTGCCAAGAAAAGCCAGCGATTCACAAACGGTACCGAAAGAGGGAGAGTCGACTTCCAACAAGACCGATAAGGGGAGCAACGCAAATCAACTCTTTGATAATTTTCTTACCAAGGTCCACGATGCCTACTATGAAATTTATCTTGACGAAATATTCATCAAACAAAATGTTACGAATGACGAAATTCGTGAAAACTTTCGTCCATTTGATTTCAGTCCAGCTGCTTTGAAAAGAGCAGCCGACACTGCAAYGCAATTGAGATCAGAGCTGGATTCATTGTTGACAGACGAAAGCGAAGCTTCCCTAACACAAAGGGAACTCAGGGCTTTGTATGAAGCTAGAACATTTCTCAGATATCTCCGGGGTCCGTACGATACAATGTACTATACTGGTGACTGGATGCTTGGACCAAATACCATGGCCTGGCAGCCTATCGGTACCTCATTAACGTTTCTTGGAATTGCGGCAAAATATTACCTACAGCCAAGGAGCGTGGAAGAAGCTGAAAAGTTCATAGAGCTTCTGAGACAGCAAAGGGCAAGTAYAGTACAGTATATGGAGAACATGAAAATTGGTGTGAAAGCGGGTATGGTGCGGAATATTGAGGCATGCAGAGGTGGACTACTTCGATTCAAGAGTCGATTCCATCCGGATTTTGGAGGTAAAAGATACAACACTGCGCCTTAACACTATTTGTTCTAACTTCACTACAAAGTTAATATCTTATCCACGACTTAATGACTTAATTTGCCTCACAGACGTACCTCTTAATCCCCTCTGTGTGTGTTGAAAGCAAAATACACGTTCCCACAACTCTCCCCGCAAAAGACCTTTCTGGGGAAGTTGAGGGCAACCCAAACGTTTGCCCAAAGGATGAGGCTGTGGCTAATGTGCAAACCATTTTACATTTACGGCTGGCTGTCTCACAAAAGGTGTTATTTCAGTTCCCGTGTATCAAAACTTCCAAGACACAATGATTTAATTTCCACTTACTTGACGAAAGAAGAAATTAAATCGTCTTATGCATATGGTGTCATATGGAAATTCCGTTACAACAACCCCTTTTTACCGTTCTATTTATAGACACACCGCATTAAAATTCGCACTCCTGCAAAGCACCACAAACTTATCCTGAAACAAAATCCCACTTTAAGTATTTTGAGTATTTAATTTTYGGTTAACCATGTGCTAAGTTCTTTTTCTGATGCTTTAAGATCATAGTCTTTTGATTCCATTTTTGCACATCATCAATGGACGCCGGGACATGCACATTCAAAGTACATTTTATATCATTCTCTRCTTATAAGTACACTTTGTTCATGGAAAATGTATTGATGGCTTCTAAACAGATCAAATAGCTTTGCCGCCTTTAATCATTARCGCAAAAAATATTTGATGATAGACTTAAGAGGACTAGTATTAGTTTTCTGACCTTTTACGATGGATCTGGAGCCAAGAGCAATTAGTTCGCTAACTTGAGACATCAAAAACCCTGTAATAATACAAAAGAAAAACAGACACTAAAAATAAATGAGATACTAATCTTGTTTAACAAATTGTGCATGAAGGTAATATAATTTAAGGGCCGTTTCAAATTTTACTCTAAGATGCAATGTGAATCCAAGGATACACCAGAAAATTTACCGTCTTACTTATTTTTGGAGAGTCTAAGTATTAGTGGCTAAAGTTTAAAAGCGTTTTAGGGCAAAAATTTAATTCAGGGCCCAATTTTAGGGCTAAGATTTTAGGGTCTATTAATTCACCAACATTCCACAGCTCTCTCTTCAATAATGAGAATAATATTTAGCGTGTGCGTGTAAGTGCCTATCAATGTCTACGGGATCTCTTTCCTGATTTCAAAGCCCTAAATAAAATAAATAAGAATGGCCCCTACTAGGAATGGATAGCGCACTATAACCACCAAAAGTTTAACTCGTTTTGAGCTAATTCTCACCGAGATATTCTGTACTTGATGTATTGACTTTTTACAAGGATCCTGGGTTGACGTCATCATATCGTGATTTCTATATTGAATATCTCGGCAACGAAAAGAGATATCAAAAAGAAAGTAAAGGCTATTCTTATTTATTTTATTAGGGCTTAAAATCAGGAAGAGATCCTGTAGGCTCGATAGGCAATTCAAGTAAGTCGAGAACAACTTGAAGTTTTGAATCCGATCAGTATTGGATCTTTATCATTCTTTTGGTASAACAGCCAACTTTTGACAAAACATTTTGAGTGAAAAAGTAATCATATAACATTCTTTTATTTCCCCGGGGACTCGACTCGGATTGTTTTGCGGCTTGATCTCTYCACAACCAGAATTTATCAAAAGTTGACTATTGACAGTTCGTCCGCATCATTGTTTGTATTAATTTTGATTACTAGGTAATTTGGAAAGCATCGGTGTAACAAATTCGTTCTTCAAGGACTTCACTAACGAGATGGAAAAAGAATGGGTCGCAAAACACGGGRAAAACTTTACTACATCTTTAAAAGAAGCAGCAGACCGTTATRTTGGAAAACCACTCAGTGAGTTGATCAGGTACATTCAAAATTATGCATTTGTGCGTTTGCATTGCCATGCTGATTGGATATGGAATGTAGACAAGGTTTGGCACAGATAAAGGGAAGACCGTTGATTCTATTGCGTGCAAGTTAAAATCTAGCAAGAGATAATAAACCTTGTATATTTTCWCTTGAATCTAGATATTACGAGCGTCGCTTTCCGCCAGACTTTATTTTTGAGATTACAACAAAGCAAACATTTTCCCGCCAAAATATATAGTAGAAACAGTCACRTGAACTGGTGTAGCTGCAGGTTTTCTAAGATCGATATATAATTCATTTATAGATACATGGAAACAGAACATGTGCAACACTGCGTTCCAAGTAATGTTTCCAGTGGCCTGGCTAGTCTACCCCTGACCCATGTCTACCTGAATGGGTCCCAAGACCTCTCTCAGCCGACGCATCCTTATTTGCCATCAGGGGAACGGCTGAATGGCAGCAACTCGTTTGTGAAACTTTTACCATATTTTACCACCAATRAAATAACTCCAAAGGAAATCAAAGAATTGGGAGAGGCTAAGCTAAAGGARCTTTATGGAAAGGTAAAGCGTCAAATTTGCTTTTACAAACTTTTTATATTCAGTGTTCCTTTTTTTAGTTTTAGAGTGTCTTTGTTTACAGTCAAGAAGAAATATAATGAAGGATCATCTATGATATGTATTATATGGTTTAATACTAAGTTGTTGACTATGATGGCCATCGAGCAGGGTCTAAGTTATGTTTTACCTGCACTAACAACATTCTATTCTTTTTTATCAGGCTTTGACACTAGCAAGACAARTGACCAATGAAACTAACACGAGCATGGCCGTGAAAAAATTCCGTGCTTTACTAACACATCGATCGCAATACTTTAACAACAAGTCGTTCCCGTCGAATGAGTCCATAGAAAATGCTTATCTCAAATGCTTCGATGACGCCAGTGCTCAACTACACTGTCCCGAGAGGTGGGAAGCGTTTACAAAATGGAAAGAATCAACCACATCGGTAAGTGCTTGCCTTAAAACAATACCCTTCACAGTTCGCGACGCCATTTATAAGGTAGCCATGCCTTTGCATCGAAGCGAGACGAACTTTGAACTTGCAATGATGTGAATAATTGTCCAAGGTGTTAAAAAGGTCTCTATTATTACAAGCTCACCGTTCGTCTCGCTTTGATGCAAAGGCACGGTTACATTTCAAGATTGCAAGGAACTGTAAAAAGGACTATTATCACTGGCACTTTAATTTGAAGACCACTTTAATTTAAGTTGCTTTTATAGCATTAAGCAATGCTCCTCATAGCTTGTACATGAACACCATATACTACTTGCCAAGCACTTACACCATATACTTGCCAAGCATGCAGTTAAAGCGGGTGTTGTACTTTGCAATTCCGCAGTTGAAAGTGTGGGCATGCATAACACAATCATACTAAAATACAAATCGACCAGTTTAATTTTMGCAAAGATTGCAGTAACGATGTTACAAAATGCGACACAATTTCAGGTATTTCATTGGAAAGTTTCTGGTGCAATTCGCCCCACTCGGTAAAACTGGCTGAGGTGAAAAGTGCACTGTTAACGTTTGCTCGACAACTTGCAAATTTGAAACGTTAAGAAAAGTATAGAACCCGCCTTTTTTTCTACTCTTTTTATAGCTCAATTTTCCCCCTTTGTGATACCAGTTTGGAAGGAGTAAGGAATACTCCTTTGCCGTTTCACGCAGGAAACGACACGTTYATGAAGAATGAGACGCTTAATTTGTATATGACATTTTCCAAAATGACTAATCTACATTGAAGATGACACTAAACCACTTGTTTTGTTTTTCCTTTAGATCAACAAGATTTTGCATGAAAAAATAAAACCACTGTTTTATACTCACGGAAAAAAGAAAACAACTTTATCGAACGCGTGTACAATAGAAGTACAACCAAACTTTAATCCATGTAGCAGCTAYCACAACTACCAAGGTAAAGGTTGTGGCATCCACTTTCTACCTTTCTTTGTGGATAATTATGGACCCAAGTTTTCAGATTGGACAACAACAGCTCATGAGACAGAGCCTGGACATGACTTAGAGGTAAACAAACATCTATGTACTGTGTTTAAAGACTTGGCTAAGAATCTGAAAAAGAATTCACTAGGAAGTGGACTTTTTTCATTCTTAGTCGTACATTCCCACGACAGCGTATGTACACAGTGATTTTCCAGTCCAAGTGCTTTGTCATTTCTGTCATCTCCTCTACCACTAGTTCAGCTTCTCTTTTCCTATACCCTCGTCATTGGTATAAAGTATGGATCTCTGGACCCTCTTGAACATTTGCCTTATCGGCTTAGTCCTACATTCTTGTCACAGCGCAATCATTATCCTGATCCAAATCCCCTTGTCATTTCTCTCATCTCCTCTAGCCATCGGCCTCTGTTTTCTTACCCTCGTCGATGATATAACGTATGGCTCACTTTGGTACATCCATGTTGSAAATTTTTCTTATTTTTATAAAATTTAAGAGGAGCAGATGTGACTAGATTYGAAACAGACAAGTCAACAGTCATGTTTGTGGTCGATGACGAATGGGATAAATTTGCCTTTACCGACCTTTGATTGTTCCAAATCTGACGATTTTACGTCAAACTTGGTTCAAACTTGACTTGAGAGGGCAATAAGGAGACAGTTCTTACATTGTTATCGCCCSTCTGAAGAGGGGTTAAATTACAACAACATTAATTAACAAAAACCGAAGAACCAGAAGAGTCATTCGGCAATTCAATTAAGTGTCCTGAGGCATTAAAGATCGCGTTCCTAGTGAATTTATGTTACCACTGTCGACCGGAGAATCCGTCGGAAATGAYTCTGAGAGTATCATTCATTGCAGTCGGTTTAAAGAAAGTGTACTAATAATAAGATCTAGTTTTTGGATCCAATTTCGACTAAGTGCACCTTTTATTGTCTCTTGCTGCAAAACATTGATCGATAAGATAAAAGTTTCACGATGTAAAATAAATGATGTAAAATAAATGAAGCGGCTCGGTGCCACTGCGAAATTAACCGAATCGGTATTAGTAACTCAACGCTCAAATCAGATTTTAAACCCCAAAGAGGATGATGAGGGACGAGGGACGCATAAGCCGAGATTTATCTGACAAAAGAGAGACCAACTCGATGCTAAACACTCATTTTCATATGACTGTCCAGTCATCTCTAAAAATGTATCAAAGGATGAGACCGATAATGATCGCGTGAAGCATTTCAATTCGAATGCATGTCAGGGATGACTCAAGGWAGCTTTATTTAAAAGCGATGACCATCGTACAAAGGTATTTCAAAGTCAAAAAATGYTTATTTCAATAGTAATCCATTTGTTGCGCATTAGATAAGGATGACATTTACATTTCCAYGCGTTTTTCGTTTTTTAAAAAGGTGCGGAAATAATTCTGGCAATTGCAACGGGATTATCATAGAGATTTGGCACAGCACTGTCACGTTGTTTGTCATATAAAATTTTTTCGCGCATCCTGTTGCGCTACAAACATTTTCCTTGATTCATGCCATATTGCAAAAAAAGATGTCAATAATCTTATTGCCTGCATTACTGTGAAAAGAAACGCACGTTTATGTATGCACCTCGAACGATACGTTGACGACAAGTAAATTTCACGTGGACGACAAGTGAACGACAAGTGAACAGGTGAATCAGTTTGCATTAACGACAGCCGCACTAGATAATCAAATGAATTTATTCTATATTTAGATGGCTATGAACTAAGCCGATAATTCAATGTTTATATAATACTTTTTCGTCTCTTGACCTTTGTATCTAGCTTTAACTAATTAAATCGGTAAAATCTTCTTTGATATCCGGAAACATGATGATAATCTCCATCTGCTTGGATATCTTGACTTAAGATCTCTTATATCTTTCTTGTGGGTCCAATCTTAACAGATTACTCACCAAACGCCAGTGCTAGCATTGGGTAGCATGAGTGGCGTTCGCGGCTAACGCGTCGTCTTTCACCGCTGTGATTCCAACGGGTCGGGTCGCTGGTTCGAGCTCTRCGGCCGCCACATGTGAATTGAGTTTGTTTGATGTGTTGTTCTCTCGTATGCTACGAGGGTTTTCTCCGGGTTCTCCGGTTTCTTCCCTCCGTTAAAATCAACATGTGAGTTGAACGTTGTGTACATAGAATATTAAATGTAGTGGTAGTGCGTGTGAGCRAAAAGTGTCCCCAATTAGTTCGAAAGCGCTAGAACGACTAGACACTTAAATAAAGTGTTTTTTATCAACTCCTCCTACAGCGAGGAAATCTTCTACAAGAATCACTTCATTGCCCTAAACACCAAAGGATGATTTTCGATTCTTTATTTAGAAGCAAGTTGGCAGACGCCTGCCAAACATGGTCGACAACAGCTACCACCCTCAAGTTAATATGAAGCGCAATCAAAAATATAGAAATCAAGCACTTTTTAAAAACTCTTCACGCCAGATCAATTATCAAATTCTAATAATTCTGCTATTTATATTTTTTGTCATCACATTATTTTAATGTCTCTCAATCGTGTAAAATATTATAAACAGGGTTCCCAAATGGCCTTTTCGTACCTAACAGTTCAATGCACTTGTTTGTTTCAAGGTCAGAGGCTATGAAAAGAACTTTCGAGGCAATACCAAGGACAACATCGAGTGGTTGACCCAAAATACGTATTTTTCTGGATTCAGTGAAGGTTGGGCAACGTATTCAGAAAGTCCATTGGTTGGTGAAGATGTTGATGCGTATCGGGATGATTTAATGAGCAAGTATGGYATGCTGCAGCAGGAGGTATTGAGATATTATTATATTATTATAATATTGTTATTGCATTACCGAATGAAGACTCTCTGTCCTAATTTCCCAACCATCCCATAACTAATTCTCCAGTTTCCAGTTCACTGTTGCTCTGGGATAGCCTCGACTTTTTGCAGAATATTCGTGYGTTCCAGTGACTAGGTCCGTGAAATTTCAAAGTGTTTGTGTTGTCGACGTTTTGCATTCTTTACTTTACCGTTGGAATTTGTGAATATTTAGACACTGATACGAGGCTAACTAACCCTGAGTAAATGAGTCTATAACTAAGAAACAAAACAGTAATTTCGAGGGATTTCCCAAAACTAGCATGGCTGGCACTTGCACATGTTTACCGGCATCAGGGCACCGGAGTGTGAGGGGCTTTTAGTCACGTGTGTTGCCACTATATTTAATCACTGTCACTACTACTGCCACGCACTAATTGCCGACTCGGAGGTTTTATTATCCATTATTATTGACTGGCAGGGGGGATCCAAGAARAAAAAGGTTGGTGTGGGAATTTAATGATTCTGCTCATGGAAGCCCCTTGCAAAAATAAAAATACACCCCATTGCTGAAATACACCCCATCCCCTCTCCCAAACACCATTCTTCAGCATAAAGTATTTTGTTTTCCTTCCAGATAATCGCCGCTTTACGCCTTATCAYAGAAACAGGCCTGCATTACTATGGAATGACCCGCACRGAAGCGCTCAAGCTTTTCGATGATTACGCATGGGACACCAGTGATATTGCGCAAAAGGAAATCACTCGATACCAGAGYCTACCAGGGCATTCAGTAAGCTATATGGTAGGGCAGACCGCATTAATGAAGGCTAGAAAGTTTGCTGAGAAAGAACTTGGATYTAACTTCACTTTACCAGAGTTCCACTATCAGGTCTTACACCAAGGGGAACTGACTCTAGATTATCTAGATAGGTATATCCACCATTATGTAGCGTGTGTTAAGAGTAACAAGGATCCTAAAGGTCAAGAATGTAATGACGTAGTAGGTTAAAAATAGCGTTACCAAATAGTCAGAAAAGCGAAAACAGATAGCAAATGTTGAGTAGAAACTTACTATGGTTCTTGAATACCCAAAAGTGCTGGTCACTGATGTTATGTAGACTCTGTTTAGGAATTAACTTGAATCCATTTTAGGAAGGGATCGTTAGAAAAGCTATGGCAGAACAGACATTTGAACAAAAAGGGTCATGCACATTATTCCTATTGATGGTTTTCACAGCCACCATGTTGGATRAATTTAACAAAAGATCTGTCATTAGTCTCTTTTGTTATATCTTCTCATACTCATTGATAATTCATGAGTAAACAAGCCAATCAATGGGCTATTTTTGGGTCACATGATGTTACTTGAAACATGGTGCTGGAGAGTGAGAGGAATGCATTCAGTCTGGAGTAACTGGAACAAAATTAATTCAGTCGTAGTAACTGGAACAAAATTAATTTAGTCCTAGGACTGMATTAATTTTGTTCCAGTTACTCCAAGTCGAATAATTAATTAGATGAGAAGTCATTTCAAAGCCTCCAATATCGGACTGGACGGGATTTCAAGTCCGCGCAATTAGATCCAGTCCTCGGCTGCGCCTCKGACTGGAACTAATTGCTTTGAATTGTCGGCTTTGAAATATTACATCCAACATGACCGCCGTGTCTTTCGTCATTTCACTCTCTTAGGAATGATTGAAAACCAGCAATTGAGAGTTGTTGAAATATCGGGGGGGGGAGGGGGGGAAGGATTTGTTGAGGTTGATGAGGAGCAGCAGCCCTCATGGGGAATCCTGGATACACCTCTGATGGTCCTTCGTATGTGCCCTTCCCATTCCAAATAACTATGACCTTGACATTTACGTCTACCGCGTGTAAAAAGGTACTATCTTCTATTGATTTCTGGAACCACAGGTATAAACGTTTTAGTTGACCAATATGGATAAGGTAGAGGAACTTGTGAATTGCTTTTGTTGAAATATGCAAACTTACGCCAAAGTGTTGCAATATTGTACATAATTGCATCATATTCTTGAGCATGGTATTACTCCATTATTGTGTGCAAAGGAGGTTTTATTCTATTTCATATATTTTTATGATACGTAAATTTTCACTAAGAGGATAGGGCTGAGCCCGTTTTGCTTCAGACTCAATCTTTCGTTATCAAAAGTTTCGACAGAATTACTTCAGATGTAGATTTTTAAAAACTTGCTTAAAAAGCTTTGCAACAGAACATATTGTATTTTCTTCCGGTCTAAAACTCGTGCGTTCTTATTGGCTGCACAAATGGGCGGTATTTCCTATCTCGCGGGCGGTATTTTCTATCTCTGTCCGCGGTCCGGTATCCTAACGTAAGGCTCACCTCATCCATCGGCCTAACAGTCTCGGTACGTATTGAAGACCTCGGGCAGAGTTTTTCCATATCCGGACCTCCTGGCCGGTAAAAAAAAAAACACGTATACGTATAACCGGCTTGTTACCCTAATGTCTGTTATATAGTAGCCTGCGTGGGGACGCTCTAGGGGATTTAGCTATATGGCGGATGTTGTTTTATATTAATTAAAATTTGTGTGACTTTTTGCGGTTGTTATTGTCATGATATGTGGTTATTTTGTTGTTGTTGTTGTTGCTCTGATGCACTAAAATTGAAAAATAAACAAATTTTGACTCGCTCAGCCTGTGCAGTACAATTTTTCTAACTAACAAGGATTGTGTGACGCATTATGTCACACTTGCCACCCATGCTATAACCGAACAAGTCACGCTGTGCCAACTGAATATACTTGCGAATGYGGGAATATAAAATTGCTTTGATTCCATTTAAGAAGGCCAGGGATGTTCTAGTCTCTACTAGTCTAACATTCGTCTTGTTCAACCTCATACACCTCAGTGGCTTGGCTTTCTAAATGCGAAAAAAATGTGATATCTCATTCGCATTGCATTCTGGGATACTAGTGAATCCTCTTCTGGTGCTATTCAGTGCATTGTTGTCTGATTCAATCAGAAACATAAAGTTGGCCGATAAACCCGTTTGGTGCTAACAAAATAAATGGAGGTGAAGTGCCAGGTAGTAAATCCAGATAATACAAGCAATACTTCCTTTCAAATGCACATGGTACTTTAGCTGCTTTACGAATTGCCAGGAAGTAAATCCAGTTAATACCAGTCTTTTCATTACTTCCTTTCAAATGCCCATGGTACTTTAGCTGGTTTACAAGTTGCAATTATACTCTCGAAAAGCTCATCTCGTGTAATTAGCGCTCCAAAAATGTATGGCTGAAAGAAAAATAAGATTATTATATCTATATAGTAGTATGATGCGAACTCCTCTAGTGGGAGAGACTTCAAACACGTTGGTGGTACCGTGATRACCACGTACTGTACTAATTAGAATTCTTGTTTTTACCAAGCAGAGACGTCCAAGTCTATCGTTGTATTGTGTATTCCCTTCTAGTTGTACTGAGAGGGTACGATTTCAAAACTGTTAATAAATACCTTATGGGATCCTCTGATTTCAATTTTCATAGACTTCCCAGTACCTGGCATGATATTCAACGGGTCATACTGAGGACAAGAGTCGGAAGAGGTATGTAATTAAGACTAGAGTAATGGATTATTATAAATTATTCGGTGGACTAACTTTTCCTAAGCTGATATTTTATACCATCATCACCCCAAATTATCATCACCATTTTTATCAGCACCATTATCACAGCACCATCATAATCATCTTCAGACTAATCACATTGTGCGAGAAAAAATCAGCCAATTAAAATTCTAGAAAGCATCACGGTCACGGTACGTTCTATCGGATTACCCACCTTTTCCGCATTTACGATATCCTCCAGTTTAATAACGACATGTTTAGATGTACCAATTTTGTATCGCTCGAAACACAAGTAGCTAAAAAAGAATTATCATAATGTCAGAAAAACAAAATGTAACGTATACGATATATGGCCGAGTGGCAGATAATTTACTAAAGACGTACACTGCTACTGACATCATGTACCATGTATCTCACTACATAACTGTATAAGCGCTATATAAGCTATATATTATTATCATTATTATTATTATTATTATTATTATTATTATCTCAGGACTAATATGACAAGCTTTAATTTAACCTTTTCTCTTCCTCACATGCATTTTGCGAAACTTTGAATCTAAAATTGAAGAAAAAATATCGCTTACTTTTGAGTCAAAAAGAGTTTTCCCTGTTTCATTTTGGTCAGCGGTTTGTCCYTAGTCATCAATGTACAGCGATGGCCTTCTTCCCAAGCTTAAACAGAATTCGAAAACGAGTAATTTTAAAGCCCTATAAGTCATATGGGGTATGTATCTGTTTAATTAACCTTCCTTCTCTAACCGACCGGTCTGACTAAACAATGTCATTGTTGCCTAACTAGTCTGCCTCGTATCTACCACTATAGCTCACTTGCTCAT